CTCCCCCTCCGCCCCCCTGCCTTGCCTTTTGCTCACTCAGGCATCGTGCTCATCGTGGAACAGCATGGATACTACCGCGGATGAGAGGGAGAGGCGTGGCAGGAGTGCATCCTTTGCCGTAGAGCTTTAGAGATGCCCCGCCCCGCCCCCCCGGGCTGCTCTCATTCCCAGTATCTCTGTGTTTCGGCCATGCTTTGTGGTCTCGCTGTGTCCCTGGGTCTGCAAGCGCCTGTGATGGTGTTTGGCTGTGGACCTCCCTGTGGGTATCCTTCCCGTCACCATGCATTTAGTCCCCTCCTCGAGCTCGCTGACATTCAGCTAAGGTTGAAGTGGGTCCACGCTGGCGCCTGTGAGTCTGTTCTGGGTAGCATCCTACTGTATACGTATGCCTCAGTTTACATACTTACTTATCCTACTGATCCGTGTTTAAGTTATTTCTGATTTTTTGATAGTTTTCTAGGAGAGAGAGATATATGGATTAGTCTTCTAAAAGTAAATTTTATATATATATAGTTTTAATTAGGGGATGGGTACTTTTGGGAATGGAGGTAATTTATGGTTCAGTTCTAGATACTGAATTTCTGATTCATAAGGTGTATGCCCTGGGAATTCCACTTACACTGCTGAGTTGTTCTCAACGGTGATTGTGGCCGGCCACACCTCTGCCAGCAGTGTATAGGGATTCCCAAGGCCCACATGCTTGCCAACAGGTGTTCATTTCTTAGCTCTGGAAATAGCTTCTTAAATCAGTGGTAGAGTGGGGGAGTGGGGGAGATTAATTTTTACTCTAATTAACTATATTTACAAATCATTGAAAAAGTTGGCTAAATCAGTGTAACTTTATTTTTCTTTATGTCCTGACCATTAGGTAGTTGAATTCAGTGAATTGGACAAACCCAGAGTCCACTTTTTACGAAAAGTATTAAGTATCCTATTAATGGAAACAGAAATTGAAGACCTCAGTTTAATTTTCACAAGGTATGTGCCCTACCCTTTCTGATGAGACATGGAAGAGAAATAAAGAGGTTGTTTTCACTTGTGTTAATTTAGAAACACAAGGTTGTACTACATGTGTAGCTTAATCTTTTCAGTTTTGTTTTTAAGCTAGTATGCATTAGATCTGGGGAATAGAAATTTGTCTACTAGCAAACTAACAATGATTGGTAATAATAAAATATGTTAAGAAGTTCTTAATTGAGAATTCTGTTTTTAAAAGAAACTGGTTATGTCTCACTATTCGAGATACCCAGGATGGAGATCTAGGAGAGGCCAGCCCAGCCCTGACATGTGTTTATACGATTCCTTTCCAGAGTATCTGACAACCCAAAGCTGGGGATGTTACGTGAGGGTTTGAAGCTTTTCATCAGCCACTTCTTGTTAAAGAACGCACAGGCCCACAGAAGCGCCGGCGAAGCCAACGTGCTGCGAGAGAAGGCTGACCTTGTGACAAAGTGTCTGCACGGAAAAGCTTCCCTGAGAATGTAGTCAGGGAAAGAAGGAAGGCAGGTGGCCCTTCGACTGTAATGTCCTTTGTAAACCCAAAGCTTTATTCTGTTGCCTGCGTGTGAACGTTTGGTAGAACTATATCATTGTCTATTATTGTATTATATTTTGAGATAATTTTTTGATCTAAGGTTTTATTGTTCGTATTTCAAGCCGTTTTCAAATAACTATATCTTGGGGGTGAGAGGAGAAGGAGGGAGGGAAAAGGGGGTTCAGGCACACTGGACAGGGTTCTCTAAGCAGTGAGGCTGGTGTGTGTGATTGTCTTAAAATTGTTTAATAGGTATGGCCGAGCGTGATGGCTCACGCCTGTAATCCCAGCACTTCGCGAGGCCACGGCGGGTGGATCACTTGAGGCCAGGAATTTGAAACCAGCCTGGGCAAAACCCTGTCTCTACTAAAAATACAAAAATTAGCCAGGCATGCTGGTGATACAGTTACTGAGGTGGCTGAGGCACAAGAATTGCTTGAATCCTGGAGGTAGAGGCTGCAGTGAGCCAAGATCGTACCACTGTACTCCAGCCGGGGCTGGACAGTGAGACTGTCAAAAAAAAAATTAATAGATAAAATAGGCCACTAGAGGGTGCAGTTATGAAGAACTTGATGAGGTTTTTACCTTTTTAAAATAATTGGTTAAAAGTTCAAAAACCATCAGTTAAATGTGATTCTTCTTTTAAGACGGAGTCTTGCTCTGTCACCCAGGCTGGAGTGCAGTGTGGTGTAATCTTGACTCACTGCACCCTCCGTCTCCCAGGTTCAAGCAATTCTCCTGCCTCAGCCTCCCTAATAGGTGGGGCTACAGGTGTGTGCCACCACGCCCGGCTAGTTTTTGTATTTTAGTAGAGATGAGGTTTCACCATGTTGGCCAGGCTGGTCTTGAACTCCTGACCTCAGGTGATCCACCCACCTCGGCCTCCCAAAGTGCTGGGATTATAGGCATGAGCCACTGCGCCCAGCTTAAATGTGATTCTTGATATTGTTTTAAGTATTTGGGATGCAGTTGAACTTTGGCAAAGTCAGTCGACATAAGCCCTGTGGATATGGCCTTATGTAGACTATAGTGCAGACAGGTGCTTTTCATCATTCATGTGACATTCCCACACAGTTGAAGGGTATTCATCTCACCAATTCCAAATTGTAAATGTTCTCAAGCAACTCTGAAGTCACCAAACAGTAGTCATTTGACTGTTAATAGGTGCTACTTGCTTGTAAGGATTTGGGGATGTAAGCATGAAGAAAATATAGTTATTGCCTGCAAAGAATTAACATTTATCCAGTGAGAGAAACAAACACACCCCACTCACTAAGTATGGAAAACTGATGCCGGGAGGAAGCAGAAACGTCCCTAGATACCAGCACGTATTGCAGATACCCAAATGTTTATTGTTATCCCAGCGCTTCAGTTTTGCTTTTCTTTCTCAAATGCTGCAGACTCAATTTACATTTTACCTTTGATTGTTGAAAAAAGTCACTAAGATGTGAATACAGAATCGACATTGAGAAGTTGTATAAACTCATCTGTCCAGCAGCACTGTCCTCTTCAGAGTGGTCCTGTTGGGCAGATGGGCACAGGTGCTGTGATGTCACTCCTGCGCAAAACACCCCCTTTGTGGCACTTTCAGATATTGTGTATGTATTTTTTAAGAGAGAGACAGGCTCACTCTGTCCCAGGCCGGAGTGCAGTGGCATGATCATAGTTACTGTAGCAAATTCCTGGCCTGAAGCAATCCTTTTGCCTCAGCCTCACGGATAGCTAGGACCACAAGCAGTAGAGACAAGATCTCCCTGTGTTATACATGCTGGGCTTGAACTCCTGGCCTCAAGTGATCCTCTTGCCTTGGCCTCCCAAACACAGGGATTATAGGTGTGAGCCTCCGTGCCTGGCCTCAAATTTTATTTATGCGTGCCCTGTAGCAGTTTGTGTTTGGAAATCATGATGTGAAGCCATCAGTGTCTGTGCATATCCCTAAACTAATGGTTTAAGCTTTGAAGCATGTGCAAGCAACATGAACAGCTGAATACAGAAAGTAACTCGAAGCAGCCCAGAGACTGTGTCATCCCTACAGACTTCCTAACCCTGCATTCAGCAACATCAGGCCAGATCCAAACCCTGTGTCTTCTGGCGGGTTCTGAATTTAGAGGACAAATAAGGTGACAGGTACTAAGAGAAGAGTGAATTAAGTGAAAATCTTCCCTTTGTTAAGGAGCTTTTTAACAAGAGTGTCTTTGCTGGGTGGTGATTGGGATATAACAGATCAGTTCTACTGGACGTGTAGCTTGATAGTGAAATAAAGAGCTTGGGCTAAGGAAAAATCAACACACTGCTTCCTTCCTCAAGAAGGTCTTACTATGAAGAAAAAAATGTCAGTTGAACTAAATTGTGCTTTACGCCATGGTTGATTTGCTTTCTGATGCAAGCCCCCGACCTGACAGACCAAGAGGATCCCTGGCCGCCTGTGAATGGCCCGCATCTGAATAGCACTAACGTAAGTGATGTGAGTAGGAATTAATTATGGGTGCAGCCGCTAGGATTGGGAAAAACTGTCACGACAGTGGCACTGCCTGATTTCATTATTATCAGCTACGGTTCGCATTTAGTATATGGCAGATTGCAAATCTATACATTTTAACAACATGTGGGGCCGGGCACGGTGGCTCGCGCCTGTAATCCCAGCACTTTGGGAGGTTCAGGCGGGCAGATCACTTGAGATCAGGAGTTCAAGACCAGCCTGGCCAACATGGCAAAACCCCATCTCTACTAAAAATATAAAAATTAGCTGGGCATGGTGGCAGGCACCTGTAATCCCAGCCACTCGGGAGGCTGAGGCAAGAGAATCACTTAAACCTGGGAGGCGGAGGTTGCAGTGAGATCTCTGCTCACTGCACTCCAGCCTGGGTAACAAGAGTGAAACTCTCTCAAAAAACAAACAAACCAATATATATGGGCTGTTAGATAGTAATTATAATTTAGTTTGAATAGTAAATAAGTACATCTTGACTAAAAGCTATGAATTCAGAATTGCTTTTAAATATATAGGGGTGTTTTTGAAATGTATTACAGTGCAACTGAAAATACACTTAAAATACTGCAGGATGCTTAATGCTCAGTGTTATGTATGAACTTGTGGACTTTGCAGTGCAGGTTGAGAACTGCTAATGTATAGAATGACTAAACAGCTGTCTTAGGGAATCTCATTTTTAGAGGTGTAAGGAACAAACTTTAAAGTATTGAAATGTGTAAATAAAATGTATTTTTTATATTTTGTTTAGAGTAACAGTGAATGTTTATTTTGAAAGACCAGCTTGGCCGGGCATGGTAGCTCACGCCTGTCATCCCAGCACTTGGGGAGGCCGAGGCGGATCATCTGAGGTCAGGAGTTCGGGACCAGCCTGGCCAACATGGCGAAAACCCTGTCTCTACTAAAAATACAAAAATTAGCCAGGCATAGTGGCAGTCGCCTGTAAACCCAGCTACTGGGGAGGCTGAGGCAGGAGAATTGCTTGAACCCAGCGCGGGGAGGTTGCAGTGATTTGAGATTGCGTCACTGCACTCCAGCCTGGGCAAAAGAACAAGCCTCCATCTCAAAAAAAAAAAAAAAAAGCTTTGGTGGTATACTGAGGTCTATACCTTTTCTTTACCTTTTCAAGAAGGCTTCTGAGCTCTATGATTTAGGAAGAAAGATTCATTCTCTCCAGCCCCAGAGAGACAGAAAGCCCAGGAGGTGGAATGTTAGCCACTGGAGACTCCAGCCCCAGAGAGACAGAAAGCCCAGGAGGTGGAATGTTAGCCACTGGAGACTCCAGCCCCAGAGAGACAGAAAGCCCAGGAGGTGGAATGTTAGCCACTGGAGAACTTGGGGGGGATTATGCGGGTGAAGTGTGTTCTTGTAACTTTTCTGTAAGTGTATAATTGTTTCAAAATAGATTTTTTGAAAGCATTCATAATTCAGAACTCATTCTGTAAAAATCTAAAATATACTATTCTTTTACAAAAATAATTAAGCAAACTGATTCGAATCACCTTTGCCTCCTTCATAAAAAATTGCCTAGGCCTTAGCGTAAATCTGCCAAGATTTACCTTAACTTTAGGGGGGGTTGGTTTCCTTCAGCTTGGTCAGGTGACTGCCTCAGCTCCCTGTCGCACTACCCACATTGGCAGGGAGGGAGGGAGAGCTGGAGAACGGAAGGAGGGAAGGTCCTGTCATTCACCGCGCTCAGGGGCTTCAGTATCAGGACCTGCACTGATGGTGGGCTTGGTGTCAGTGGTGTCCAAATTATCCAGGCACCTGCATCCCTTTAGGGTTGAATAGAGTGTATAGGAGTGAGCCAGAAGATGCCAGCACCCTCCCCCTCTCCCCGCTGTGGCAGGCATCCCAAGGGCCAGGTCAGGTTCATTCATTCTCTTTTTTTTTTCTGAGGCAGAGTCTCACTCTGTTGCCCAGGCTGGAGTGCAGTGGTGTGGTCTCGGCTCACTGCAAGCTCCACCTCCCGGGATCAAGTGACTCTTCTGCCTCAGCCTCCTGAGTAGCTGGGATTACTGGCACGCGCCTCCACACCTGGCTCATTTTTGTGTTTTTAGTAGAGATGGGGTTTCACCATGTTGGTCAGGCTGGTCTCAAACTCCTGACCTTGTGATCCGCCTGCCTCGGCCTCCCAAAGAGCTGGGATTACAGGCATGAGCCATGGCGCCCAGCTCATTCATTCTCTTGTAGGTAGCTGGGCCCAGATTTTTTTTTCTGAACCACTTGGAAGTTGCATCATCAAAACCCTTCACGCCTAAATGCTTTTGTATGTCTTTCCTAAGAACAAGAACATTTACTTCTGTAATCACAGTATAATTATCAAAGTAAGAAATTAACATTGATAGAATACTAACAGAATGTCCCTTGAGTTTTCTTGCTGCCTCTCAAGGGACATTCTGTTAGTATTCTAAGCCCAGCTTCTAAGCTGGTCCATGCTTTGTAGTAGCTTACCAGAACTTACTCATCCTGCAAAACTGAAACTTTGTACCCATGACCGTCACCTCCCATTCCCCTCTCCCCCATAGCGCCCGGCAACCATCCTCCTCCTCTCTGCTTCTGTGAGTTTGACTGTTTTCGATTTCACTGTGAGATCATGTGGTCTTTGTCTTTGTGTGCCTGGATATCTCACTTAACAATGTCCTCCAGTTTCTTTCATGCCATTACAAATGACAGGATGTCCTTCCTTCTTAAGACTGTATAGTAATTGTATACATAGACCACATTTTCTTTTTCTTTTTTTTTCTTTTTGAAAAGGAGTCTCACTGTGGCTCCCATGCTGGAGTGCAGTGGTGCGATCTCAGCTCACTGCAACTTCTGCCTCCTGGGTTCAAGTGATTCTCTGGCCTCGGCCTCCCGAGTAGCTGAGATTACAGGCGTGTGCCACCATGCTTGACTAAGTTTTGTATTTTTAGTACAGACAGGGTTTCACTATGTTGGGCAGGCTGGTCTCAAACTCCTAACCTCGGGTAATCTGCCTGCCTCAGCCTCCCAAAGTGCTGGGATTACAAGCATGAGCCACCACACCTGGCCCCGTATACCACACTTTCTTTATCCACTAGGTTGATGCTGTATCTTGGCTATTGTGACTAGTGCTGAAATGAATACAGGAGTGTGGATGTCTCTTTGAAATGGTGACTTAGTTCTTTTAGGTGTATACCCAGTTGGGGGATTACTGGATCATATGGAAGTTCTGTTTTTAATTTTTTGAGGAGCTTCCCAATTGCTTTCCATAATGGCTGTGCCAATTTACATTTTTCCACCAACCACGTGTAAGGAAAAAGGTATGGGTTCCCTTTTCTCCGCACCTTTGCCAACGCTTACCTTTTGTGGTTTTAGTAATAGCCATTCTAACAGGTACAAGGTGATAGTTCATTGTGGTTTCGATTTTCGTTTCCCTGATGGTTGGTGATGTTGAACATCTTCTTGTATAACTGTTGGGCGTTTGTATGCTTGCTTTGGAGAAATGTTTATATGCATCCTTTGCCCAATTTTTATCAGGTTTTTGATGTGGTTTTGTTATTTGTGGGTTTTTGGTTTTGTTTTGCTATTCGGTTATATGTGTGTATTTTGGATAGTGACCCCTCATTAGATCTGTGGTTTGCGACTGTTTTCTCCCACTCTATAGGCTGTCTTTTCTTTTTTGTTTTTCTTCTCCTGTGCAGAAACTTTTGAGTTTGATGTAATCCCATTTGTTTAGTTTTGCTTGTGTTGCCTGTGCTTTTGGGTTCACATCCAAAAAGTTATTTCCTAGACCAATGTTGAGGAACTTTTTTCCTATGTTGTGTGATTTCAGGTCTTAAAAGATTTAAGCCTTTGATCCATTTGAGTTGATTTTTGTATACGGTGTAAGATGAGGATCCAGTTCCATTCTTTTGCATTGGAGATCCATTTTTCCCAGCACCGTTTATTAAAAACATTATCCTTTCCTCATTGCATATTCTTGGTGCCCTTGTCAAATATTAGTTGACTGTGTATGCAGGGTTTATTTCTGGGCTCTGTTCTGTTCCCCTGGTCTATGGATCTGTTTTTATGCCAGTACCAGACTGCTTTGATGACTATAGCTTTGTAATATATGTCATGTGTCACATAATGACATTTTGGTCAATGAAAGACCATTCTACAACAGTGGATGCATAAGATAATGGAGCTGAAAAAATCTCTTTTCGGCCGGGCGCGGTGGCTCAAGCCTGTAATCCCAGCACTTTGGGAGGCCGAGACGGGCGGATCACGAGGTCAGGAGATCAAGACCATCCTGGCTAACCCGGTGAAACCCCGTCTCTACTAAAAATACAAAAATCTAGCCGGGCGAGGTGGCGGGCGCCTGTAGTCCCAGCTACTCGGGAGTCTCGAGGCAGGAGAATGGCGTGAACCCGGGAGGCGGAGCTTGCAGTGAGCTGAGATCCGGCCACTGCACTCCAGCCTGGGCGGCAGAGCGAGACTCCGCCTCAAAAAAAAAAAAAAAAAAAAAAAAAAAATCTCTTTTCTGTGTTTAGACACCCAAATATCACTGTGTTATAAGTGCTTAGAATATTCAATACAGTAACATGCGGTATGGGTTTGTAGCCCAGGAGTAGTAGGCTACGCCATACAGCCAAAGTGTGTAGCAGGCTATACCATCTTGTGTAAGTGCGCTCTGTGATGTTTGAACAGTGATGAAATTGCCTAACAACACATATCTCAGAATGTATCGCTGTCATTAGCGACATGTGACTGTAGTTGTTTTGTTTTGTTTTGGTATTTTTGAGACAGTCTCACTCTGTCAGCCAGGCTGGAGTATAACGGTGCAATTTGGGCTCACTGCAACCTCCATCTCCCGGGTTCAAGTGATTCTCGTGACTCGGCCTCCCAAGTAGCTGGGATTACAGGTGCCTGCCACCATGCCCAGCTAATTTTTGTATTTTTAGTAGAGATGGTGTTTCTCTACATTGGCCAGGCTAGTCTCAAACTCCTGGCCTCAACTGATTCACCCACCTCAGCCTCCCAAAGTGCTGGGATTACAGGCATGAGCCGCCACGCCAGGCCGACTGTAGTTCGAAATCAAGAAGTGTGATACCTTCAGCTTTGTTCTTTCTCAAGATTGCTTTGGCTCTTTGGGGTCTTTTGTAGTTCCATTTGAATTTTAGAGTTGTTTTTTCATTTATTTATTATTATTATTATTATTATTTTGAGACAGAGTCTTGTTCTCTGTTGCCAGGCTGGAATGCAGTGGCACGATCTCGGCTCACTGCAACCTCCGCCTCCCAGGTTCAAATGATTCTCCTGCCTCAGCCTCCTGAGTAGCTGGGACTACAGGCAAGTGCCACAACACCCTGCTAATTTTTGTATTTTCAGTAGAGTCGAGGTTTCACCATGTTGGCCAGGCTGATCTCGATCTCTTGACCTCATGATGTGCCCGCCTTGGCCTCCCAAAGTGCTAGGATTACAGGCGTGAGCCACTGTGCCCAGCCTGTTTTTTCTATACACGTGAAAAATGCCATTTATAGAGATTGCATTGAATCTCTAGATCACGGAGTAGTATGGACATTTTAACAATGTTAATTATTCCAATCCATAAGCATACGATATCTTTTCATTTATTTGTGCCTACTTTAGTTTCCTTTTTTTTTTTTTTTTTTGAGATGGAGTCTCGCTCTGTCGCCCAGGCTGGAGTGCAGTGGTGCAATCTCGGCTCACTGCAAGCTCCACCTCCTGGGTTCACGCCATTATCCTGCCTCAGCCTCCTCAGTAGCTGAGACTACAGGCGCCTGCCACCACACCCGGCTAATTTTTTGTATTTTTAGTAGAGACGGGGTTTCACCGTGTTAGCCAGGATGGTCTCGATCTCCTGACCTCATGATCTGCCCGCCTCGGCCTCCCAAAGTGCTGGGATTACAGGCGTGAGCCACTGCGTCTGGCCTTTAGTTTCTTTAATCAATGTTTCATATAGTTGTTAATACACAGATTTTTCACCTCCGTTAAATTTTTTTTTTTTTTTTTTTGAGATGGAGTCTTGCTCTGTCGCCCAGGCTGAAGTGCAATGGTGCGATCTCAGCTTACTGCAAACTCCACCTCCTGGGTTCACGCCATTCTCCTGCCTCAGCCTCCTGAGTAGCTGGGACTATAGGTGTCCACCACCATGCCTGGCTAATTTTTTGTATTTTTAGTAGAGACGGGGTTTCACCATGTTGGCCAGGATGGTCTTGATCTTCTGACCTCATGATCCGCCTGCCTCAGCCTCCCAAAGTGCTGCGATTACATGTGTGAGCCACTATGCCTGGCCTCACCCCAGTTAAATTTATACTTAAGTATTTTGTTGTTTTTGATGCTATTGTAAAGTTATTTGTTTTCTTAACTTCTCTTTTGGATAGTTTGTTGTTAGTGTTTAGAGACACAACTGATTTTTGTATCCTCAACTGTACTAAATTTATTAGCTCTAGCAGGTTTTTTATGGAGTCTTTAGGGTTTTCTAGACGTAAGATCGTGTCATCTGCAAACAGAGAA